TGCAAATGGAGAACCAATGGAACAACAGCTGCTGCTATCTGCATTTTTGCTAGGTTTTGAACTGAGCTTTATAACTAAAGCATGCAATATATGGGCACCCTGTAAAATCCCTTTCAGAATTCTGTTACGTTGCTTTAAAGTATGATTTAATTTTGGCTTGGTGAGGATGTGTCGGGGTGGTGGCAGCCGGGTGAACTGGAACCACATCTTGATGAGAAATGGAAACACTGTGCTGTACTACATAAATGTAATGCAAAGAGTCATTTGTTTTAAAAGCTCTAATTTATGCCAGCCAGAGGAATCCCTAGTGAATAATTATGCAATTAAAAAAAAAAAAAACCTGTTATCATAACACACCAACCCTTTGTCCAGCAACTTGTCAGATTAATTTAATTAAAAAATACAGTCTTAAAAATATACTTGTCTGCAATTGAGAGTGTTTAATCCCTGGAGATGGAAGCGCTAGTTGAACATGAGTTCAGCCCAACATAATTCTGCCCCATTAGCGCATATTACAGCATATTAATTTAGAAAGCCAGTTGCATAGATGACTGATCATTAATGTTTATTATGATTACATTGGGGTAATCCTTGTTTAGTCAATAAACATTTACGCCGTATCAAAAAATGGGGCTGGACTGTGTCATATTGCAGTCATTTATCCATGTTCATATAATTTTGTGCTAACGACAGAGCAAGTTCTGTTAATTGGCTTTACATTAGGGCGCTTTTTTCCACGTCCTGTGCTTGAGCTGTGCCAGGCGATAGAGCAGAGGCGATAAGAAAAGAGCTGCTCTCTTTGCGACAACAGAAGAGAATTTTTGAAACCTCTTTGCTCATAATGGGTAGAAATAATCCTTTTATTTCAATGCGTTCAGAACTGGGAATAGCTGACACACGCAGATATTTATACGCAATAGGAAAACAATTTTTGTTTCCCTGACGTGCTTAATTCTCCTCAATAGATTTTTGACTCCTTGCAGCAGGGGAGCTGGGGCTGTCGTTGCAGAGAAGGGCATTTTGCAGGGTACTTGGAGGCCGAATGTCTCATGTCTGTGGAAGAAGCTGTGCAGCTTACAGAAGAGTATGGCTTAAAATCCAGCACGGAGGAAGAGCAAGCAGCAGCTTTTGCAGAGCTGCCTCCTCAGAGTGTACCTAGATGGAGCCAAAGCAGGGAGCACGTTGTGGAAGGGCTTTTGAGTGTTTAAAGGATGTTTATGTGTATGTAGGTGTGCTCTACTTCTGCCTGCCTCTGATTATTGCCCAAAATAAAACTCAAAATCTCCCAAACTGATTTGCTACGTAACAGATAATGTGTTTGTGTGCTTTTTTTTAAGGCTTTATGCATTTAATTTTCTTTTTGGTCTTGCCCTTTAATAAATGTTTTTGTGATAGCCTTAAAAACAGGTGACTTCACACCTTGTTTCTGGGACAGAAAATTGGTACTGCAGCACAGTGTTACCTTGGACAAGGTGGGATGAGTATTAGTATGCAACAACCCAACTACTTTTGAAATTTATGCACAATTTTAATGCTGACAGTTCTAGAAATATTTACAATATTTTGCCTTAAATTATTTGATGACATTTTTGTGTATTACGTGGTATGAAATTCAATCAATATGAACACAGTTAAGGGCAGTGATTATACCTCTAAAGTTGATTGAAATATCAATGTGTAGCTGAATAATCTCTTTTAACCTTGCATTGGTGTTCTCAGGGTGATAAGTTATTTTGTCATTTCAGAAATGACTTCTCAAACCTGTGCAGTGACCTTCACATTTGTAAATAATTTTTCCCTAAATACTTGATGAATATTTTTTTAAAATTTTATTTTAAAATGATGTTTTTGTGGAGCGTTGCGTTATGGCTGTTTGGATACTTTGGAGAAATATGCCTGGGATTTTAAGCCTGTTTACTACAGCAAAATCAATAGAACTTCCCGCAGCAGCAAAATCAAGAGTATCAGAGAGTTTAGGATGGGCGTGCAAATGGAAAATTGAATAAAGTCAAAGCTGTATAGCAAAATTTCAACCTTCACTTCACTGTAGAAGTAACCCTGGAGCATTTGCCCTTCCAGGCTCCGTGGTGTTTCCGTTTCGGAGGGCACTGTATTCCGTATTTAGTGCTGTGCAGAAGCTGAGGTGCAGCCCGTGCCCGTGCGGCTCTCGTCCTGGGTCTGCATCTCTGCGAGCGTGGAAGGAAGCTTAACTGGACACCGTCATTATTTTAGGAATGGTTGTGTCCGTCTGCTTCTTTCTGGGCTTCCTTCTGGAAAATATTTTTCCTTAGTATTGGTATTTTAAAAGAAATCTGTAACGTGACATACCCTTGGCTAACCTGCACCCACAGGCTTTTGCCCAAAAGGCGGAGAAGAAGCTGAGAGAGCAGAGCCAGATGGGGATTGATGCTGAGGGACGTGGGTCAAGGAGGTTTATGGAGGAAAAGACTAATTCGTGGGAAAACAGGGTGAGCAGAAGGAGGAAAGAAATGCTGGAAAAAAAAGTGCTATTACTCATGTTACTTGCATGAGTGTTCAGCTACTCACCTGCTGAACCAGAGTTCGCTTTTAAAAAGGCAAACATGAGTGACGTGTGTGGAAAATATGGCAATCCTCCTGTTTGGGGTGTTTTTTTTTTTTTTTTTTTTTTCCCCCCCTTATTCTATGTTACCCTATATAAAAATAGACTTGGAACGTGGCAGGAGCTCTGAGCAGCCAAATAGGCTTTTGGAATTAGTTGCAATGGCCCCAAGGCCGGGCTTGGAATAAAGGAGAGGAACAGGCTTGGTCACCCTTGCTGGCATGGGGCCTCTTGGTGGCTCTTTTTCACCCATGTATTGCCTACAGAAAACAGTATGTAAAAGCAAATGAAGTCAGGGATGCCCCACACTGGCAACAAACTGCTCCTGAGGAATAAGGGGTTTCTGCCTGGTGTGCCTCGTGTCAGGAGTACTGTGAGGAAAGGCCTTAAATAAAGCAGAGAGCAAAGATGGGAAGAAAAGCAGAAGGTTTTGGCTACAGTTTGCACAAAGACATCACCCGCTCAGTTCACGTGTTCATGCTTAAAATTCCTCAGCAAAGTTGCTGCACTACCCTGATAGCTGCCCCAAGGGAGCAGCAAGCTGGAACCCAGGCAAACGCTTCCTTCCACATCTCCCTTTTCATTGAGTGCATCTAAATTATTTCTAGCATCCTGGCAATTTGGGGCATTAAATATTTTGCTAGTGGTTAGTGCTACCGTAGTTGTTCTCGCTCGTGCAGTAACTTTGCTCTTTAAAATCTGCAGGGATATTTACGTCTTCCCTCTTTAGATGCCCTCAGTACCCGTAACTATAATGTAAGGGATCAGTATTAGGAAGGAAGCGTAGCGTTTTCTCCTTGCTGTCCCAGGTACATTGAGGGTATTGAGATACCAATTACGACCAAGCAAACTGTGTCTATTCCTAAGTGACCCAGAATACCTGTAACAAGTTAGCTGCACATAAAAACACACAATAAAAACACACATTCTCACACTAGGTGCTAATTGTCAATTTTAGAAATGTCAAAATACCGCTGAGAATAATGATGAAGAAATTAGCTATCAGCTGCAATATCAGTTGCCAAGTATTTTATTTGCATGATGGTTTAAAAATAGCAACGGAATTAAGATTTCAATGCCATGTGGTAGGAATAACCTGAAATGTGTTTGGGTCAGAATGGCTTTTTCCTTTTAATAAAACTATTGTTCAATGAGAAATTGCAGATTTTTTTCTTCTTACTGGGACTTTTCTGTATGTTTTCTGTATGTTCTGTATGTATTGTCCAAGTGGTAGAGCAATCTTGGAAATTCCTCTTTAGAGCAACGTGTTGTAGAAATGCATGGTTGCCTTTTGTGCTAATTACTGCTCTGTTAGTATCAGATCTGTGAAACAATGGTGAAAAGTAATAAGAAATCTTCGCTAGCTGCCAGAAGTGCTTTTAAATATTGGAGTTCTTAGCAAGAACTCGTTTTACTGTGATATTTGGGACTCCTAGTCATATACTAATATGCAACTGCATTTGACCCATGTAAACATGAAGCCAAGAGCCAGGCCTTGTGTTAGCCCCTTTCCAGCCTGCCTGTAGTTTCCAAATGCAAAAGCTAGGATCATTCTGTTGTCTAGTCCCTGTAGAGTGAAATCTGTAAGCATGTGCTTTTAGGTTGGCAGATGTTCACTTGCTTGGTTGAAGGGAGCATCTATTTTAGGGCTGGATACCAGCACCTCACCAGCCATCCGAGGCCAATGTTTTAATTTAAGGTAAGTTTTCTTATTTACTGCTCAGAGCAGTGGCTTGGTAAGACAGATCTTCTGTGTTGTATTCTTGGTTCCTAATAGGTATGTTACCTGGTGTTATATTCATAAAGGACTCCTAAGAGCATTTATCCAAAAAAGGCAGAGATTACATGCAGGAATCATGCAGGAGGTACTGGGCTTTTATTTTCATATAAGTTAGTGCTAGGTTGAAATTTTCATGATGCTTTTTCATGTAGAATGTGAGGTTTAAAACATTTCCTGCAATAAACCATCCAGCTGTAATAGCATAGGTGATTTTGGCATGAATATACAGATTTTCTTCTTCCTCTGAAAAATAAAATACTTGCAGGTAGATTAAGAAGAATTAGGTTATTTACAGAAGTGAAATACTCCTCAGTTCTGGTGTCTGTCATCAAAGCATGTGATCACAAATCATGCGATACATGCTTTGAAGGCAGAAAAAAAAACCCAAATTAAACACAGATCACCTTTGTTGAAAGTGCTGTCATTAAATATAGTTGTTTTTTTTTTTTTCTAGACTCCTATATCAAAGGTATTTCATAAGGCTTTTGTAGTGAGGAAATGATGCCCAAACTCATCTAGTTCCTCCACACTGAACAGTATTTGGAAAATAGACTGGAGGGTTGGGACGTTTGCTTTCTTCTTTTACCTGTACAGAACATAACATGTGACGGTGATGGCCACTTCTGTTTATTTTTCTAGGGTTGACCCAAGTTTCATCCTGCGAGAATCACTGAGCAAGATCTGCAGAGACTTCCTCCTAAGAGGCAGCATGTCTGAAGCTGACTATGAGAAATTAGCTGAAATAGGTGAATATGTCTTTTTATACTTCAACTGGCATCCTGGTGGAGTTGCAGGTGATTTAGTAGAGCATCTTCAGTAGGCGAGAAGCTTCACCAGCATTTTGTAATACTTCTTGGAGCAATCCAGTATGAGTTACAGCCACTGTACTGGTGTGTATCCTGTGAAAGCCATTAGGGTTGAAGGTTAGTTTAATATATGCAGCATTTATGAATTATTGGTATATGTTCCCAGTGCAATACTAGGCTGGTGGAATATCACCATCATCACATATTGTGGCACAAATGGGAGTCATTACTCCAAAGAGACAAGTATTGAATGAGCACAGAGATTGCTGTATTGCATGTTATCTCCAAAGATGTTAGCCGAGCTGAGCAATGTGACCGTGGAATTAGGAGGCTCATCATTTGGAAAAATCAGCATTGAATTTTTTTTCCTGTCTTTTTGAGGATGTCTGGCTGAACCTCAGAGCACAAGGCTTTCGGAGGTTCCTATTTATTTACTTATCTCCCACATCCCCCCCATCTCCCTCTCCCTGTCCCCCACCTCCATTGTGATTTCTCCAATTGTCCTGACTTTCATCAGGAGCAGACAGGCCTCTTTACTCCTAGAGCTCCATTCAGAATCTACTGAAAGCAATTTTCACGTCAGCCTCGGAAAACTCTGGATCAGGCCCTTCACATTCTCTCCAAGCCAGGATTTAACACCAGCAACAGTGCAAGTAGTAACAGATGACTCTCTGCTACGGCTCATGAAGCAAAGCAATAAACTCCTATCATTTGCAGGAAAAAAAAAGAGCTCAGGTCTCTGTCAGTTCAGAACAATGATTTTTTATTATTATTATCTGTATTTGTTATGAAACGTGTCTTGAGCACCAGTCCTCTGTTTGAAAAGAAAAAAATTTATGTCAGGGTAAGTAGTTTTTCAATAGTTTGGGACTGCTGTTGGGTTGACAGTCCCTGTGAGTGACTCCAGGACACATGAGGGTACATGATTGCTGTGTTTCTGCACTTCTTTCTCTGTCTCATGTCTCCAAGCCAGATGGCTGGTGGTACTTGATCACAAATGCTTACCCCTTCTTTTTGGAAACCTATTATTTTGTAGAATACAAACTAGATGCATACAGAACATACTATACAAACTATACATGCAATACATGCTATCCAAACTAAACATATACAGAAAGGGTTGGCCTCTGCCTCTCTGTTCCAAATGTTGTAGTTTTAACATGAATTTCATCATTTCTTCCTCTTTTTTGAAATGTATTTACATCATGTGCTGCGTTATGTTTTATTCTTCTTCCCAGCTCTTTGATCAGAGTCATTCAAAAGTGGAAGAGGACTGTTTCAGTTAAGTTTACTGTATTATTCTTAGATATGATACACTTTTAAAAGGTAGAAAAGAGGAAGACTGTTACGGTTTATTTCGAAAGGTAGATCTTTTCTTCTAGAAGGATTGCTGATTTATTTTCTGTGGAGACTTTAATGTGAATTCAGAGTAGACATAAACTAAAAAAAAAAAAAAAAAAAAAAAGCAGATTTTCTTAACTCTTCTTTCTCTTTTAAAAGCCCAGCCATTAGTGGCATTTTTCATCCTTGTCAAATGCATTTTTAATACAAGTCATATTAAAATTAAAAATGAGGCAATAAAGCTTTCATATAGCTGTTTATAAATAGAAGGATACAGGGATTTGTGAGTGGAAAACATTCAGGAATATTTAGTAACAGTTTTTTTTCTAACAATTATTAGCTACTGTATATAAACCTGACTGAAATCAATACCTAATATATCCTTTCTGCCCTAGAGTGTCTTGGGTAGCGGTCAAGACATAGGAAATACGCAGAGGGTGAGAAAGCTGAAGGTTCTCAGTGCACATTTCTAAGCATCCCTAATGGTGTTATAGATAAAACTGCTCTTTTCATCTTATTGTCTAACGTTATATGTCTTATTAGAGCCCAATGAAAGAAGCAGATGTACAAGGGGTGCGATACCTTAGCAGAGGTAGAGTTGTGAAGGATAACGCACTTCAAGGAAATGGTGGATTTGATGAGAGCTACAATGGGCTTTTGTTTGTAGTATTTTAGAGTACTGGGTTACAGTGTCACAATAGCCTCGATCTCGCTGTGCTCCAATCTGTAGAAAATCCATGATGTCTGGTCCGAATGAAGACTTACTTGCTGAGAGGAGTTAGTCCATGGCTAAGCCACGTGTTAAACTGCGTGCAGTTCCCCCGGGGACTCTCTCAGCGAGCACTGATGATACCTTTATGGGAGAGGGAGTGAGCCTGGCCGGCAGGCAGCGTTCACGTGGGGTGTCAACGTGGAGTAGCTGCCAGCGCACGTGCTAGCACCCCGGGCACTGCTGCCCCTGGCACAGGCTCAGAGGGAAGGCACGGAGCTGTGCGATGGTGCAAGGAGCAGGCTCTGGGAGTGTGGGAGCTGAGGAGGCAACAGCAACAGTCGGGCACAGCGAGGTCGCAGCGTGCCGGCTATCCAGGCGTTGAGATTTTTGTGAGCACTGCAGCAAATCCTGATTTTAAGGAGGACATGAAGGGGGCTTTGGGATCACACATGGTGATGGAGGGAAAAAAAAGCCAAAATATTGGTTTGAAAATTTAACAGCAGTGTCTGAAGACCTGAGTTTTTGCCAGAAGTAAGCTAAAATTCAGCCTTTTAAGAATGTATCAGAGACAGAAGCTTTTCTTTGTTCATTATCACTAAACCGTTCTCACTTGCTCGTTTAGAATTGCAGAAAGATGAAGCAGAAGACACACAGGCTGACCAGGAAAAGACATTTATTCCACCACCACCGGAGGATACTGAGCTAAACATTAATCACCCCTACTATGACGTTGCAAGACATGGTATCATCCAGTTAGCAGGTATGTTTGGAAAAGAGTAGCAGCTTCAGCTGCCTAGACACTTCATCACATTTTGTCTTACCTTATTCCTCAGTGATGCATCAGGGGCATGTTAATACTTTCAGCCTTCATCCTGAAAAGCAGGTGAATAGTGGTTACATGTGATACAGTGCTTCTCTGCAGATGAATCATGAGCCAAATATTTGAGCTTAATCTTACTTTAGAACACAGCCATTACTCTATATCATAATCCAAAGCCCAAATACTGGATGTAACAGGTCTGTGGCTTGAGTGATAAGCTGTTTTGTTTTCTGAATAACCTGAAGTGTTACGGAGCCACACATGTAATCATTTTTATAGTCTAGCCAGGAAAGGGAATGCAACTGAAGAGCTATGGGCTACTGTATAAAAACTAATAAAAGGCATAAAGGAAACTCTTGAGGCAATGATGGAGAGAAACTGTAGGTACATAGCATGTTTAAATATTGGATCTTTCATTCCTTATGGTTATTTATTTTAAAATAGTATTTTAATAGGACAAGGAGGTGCATTTGTGGCATAAAAGCACCTCTTTAAAGCATGCATCACATGACTTTCATACTTTGGGTTCCTTTGGCATTAATAAGCTTATTAAAATAACATTATAATCACATTCCTGAACTTCAGAATTTTACACAAGAAGAAATAAATAACAGTCTTTAACACTGCTCATCTGCAGATTGTGTTATGTTGCACACACCTTTTATGCCTCATGCTTTGACGCGCCTCGACTGAGCGCTTCTTGGAAAGCCATGAACTGAAGTGTGTCAAGTGGTGACTTGACTTCTGGCTATAGTGGGAGGGGAATTTCACCCATACTGACTTCTCCTCTTGAGGCTGATTATACATTGGGCCCATATTACCTTCTACCTTCATGAGAAACTCTCCTCCCAACGTAAGACCCGATTCCATAGGCAAGGGAATAACAGATTCACACTCTTGAGATTTAAAGCTGATGTTCCTCACTCAAGCACCAGCTTTGGGATGGGGGAAATACCAAGATACAGAAGTCATTAATGAGATCATTAAAAAAAAATGACTGTATTTGACTTCTTAGCTTAGTTTAGTAGCTATTTGTTGCTCCTCAAGGCTTCCCTGGAACTTGGAAATTTGTTACTGCATGTGATATTTGTCTTTCTTAAAACAGACAAATTTCTAACTACTGTTGACTATAAAAGATCCTTGTTACATGCCTTCCTTTTGGAGGAACTGTCATGATTTTGCAGCTATAGGTGACGGGACAGGTGCTGAGCTTAAAGTTCTGAATCTGCGGTTGAAAAACATCTTCTTTTTCAATGCTCATTCCTGGAGCTGAGGGGACAGGTTGGCAATCTTACCGTGTTCTGCCCAAGTGGCCAATAAGACATTCCCTGATAATTTTGTAACGCAAATGACTGACAGTTTGTTTACTACCAGGGCAAACAAAAACCTCGACTTTCACATTCTCAGGCTGGTGCTGTCCTTTGACTTAGAGGAGGTCAAATGGTAGAGAAACCCAGAAAAGGGGGAAATTTTGGAATGAGAAAATAAAATATACTGGAACAACTCCATTTAAAAATTCATGCTTTGTTGCTGGTGAACATACAGTGGGGAGAGAATATTAACTTGCATTTCCATTCCTGGTTTTGTCCTCAAATAGCGTAATTTTATGCAATTGCCTACACTTTATTTCTGGATTAGAGAATGGGAATGTGCCTCAGTATTGTCCAAAGTGAGACCCACGGTTCCATCAGAGTTATGTGATGGGGTTTTACAAATACACTGGACAACTTAAATGCAAAGCACAAGGCAGCCACTTTGCTTCAGGATGCAGGACCCAAAAGTAAATAAATAATTCTGATAGTACCATCTAAGAAGAGAACACAGAGGTGTGCGTTTGAATGCAGAACGTGCAAAAGGTAAAAATATCGTCGGAAGATGCACTTCCACAAAATGAGACTTCTCCCTTCCCAGCGTTAACTGGTGTTGAGACAGATTTGAGTGTTTTCTGGATGTAGAAGCAAGTGCAGAAAAGGCCAGCTCTCCACACTTCCTTCCGATCTGGGAAGTGGCCAGGCCCTTTTGAGAATTAAACATTTTAAAAGAATTTATATCTTACCTATTTACAGTTCATAATAATGTCTTTGAAAAAGACAAAGTGTAATTTCAGTGGTTTGAATGGCTGCTTTAAAGCAATTCTGCAAGCTGTTCCTTCTGTTTTAATTCTGTGATTGAGAGACAATGAAATGTATTGCTTGTCAGGACTAAAGAACAAGAACAGAGATTTAGGTGAAAATATTTGCAGTAATTTATCTGTCTTGTACAATGATTTAGTTTCCAACAGTTATTTAAAAAAAAACCACACACACTAAACCTCCCTCTTGCTTCTCATAAAGAGACTTGTACTTGCTTTCCAGTTTTGGCTGCCTGTAAAGATATTTTCACGCTGTATACATGCAAATGAATTAAGAAGGGGACATTTTGAAAGGTACAAGTTTTAGTAGTTGGTTATTACCTAGTGATTTTGTCCCACTGATGCCAATATGTCAACTACTTCAAGCGTACATAAATGTCACCGGTGCCGCTTGTTAAATATTTCTGTTATTTTCTATAATTTGCTTTCATAATATGATTGCTGATAATTTCTTCTGCTTCCTTGTTCTGGTTATGCACTGATAAAGTAACAGGCTATTTCTGATGCTTGTGATTTCATTAATGCCAGGTTGCATCCCTTTATGTATTAGATTAAACTTGCTAATGGAAGCAAAGTCCATCTTTGTTTTAAATCAATATTTTCCCTAGCCTTTTAGTCCTTTTCTAGTCATATTTGAAGATTTCAAGTATTCAGCATGTCCTCAGAGAGAGCATTTATATTTTTCTTCAAGCTCTAGCTCATTTCATGGCCATTTCTGGTTTCAGACCAGTGTATTAGAATCCAGTTAGAATATTAGAAAGTCGTTAGACTAGTACTATGTACATAAGGCTATGAAACTTCAAGTAATTTAAATGTAGTTTTTAAACAATATGCTGAAGACACAAGTCTTTATAATTATCAGGCTACATCCACAGTAACTTTAGCACTTCTAATAAATTCAGGAGCAGATCCATGATGAATTACAGAGAAGTAAAAAAAAAAAATAAATAAATAAATAAATAATTAAAGCTTTCGTTCCTAAAGGAAGATTTGCTTTCTCTACAGGAGTTATTATACAAGCTTCTGCCAGTGGGTGTCACTTCTGAGCTAATGTAAAGGGCTTCAGAAAGTAGTGTAGGTTGCTCTCCTTTTTTTTTTTTTTTTTTTTTTTTTTTTGGAGGCAGACAAAGCAATAGCAGAAATGCAGCTCCCACTGCATTGAAGACCGGCTTCCAAGAAAAAGTCATGGAGGTCTGATTTTAGTGGAATCCACGTTCCTAAGCAGGGATACTTATTCCATCCAAAGAAGTCCAGCAGATGTTAACGCAGAGATGTGGGGTCTGCATAGTGCTGTGGAGGTTCATGTTTTCTCTGCTCAGTGCATTCAGAGCCAGAGGAGGACTAACTGGCTCACCTAATCAGTTAAATTTGATGCCTAAAGTTGGATGTGGGAGTACATTTTAGGAGTTACTGAATGGTATTACTGTGCTTCATTTTTATAAACCTTCTATGCATCAAGAATGCATTGCAATAATAAATACACTGCAGCTTTTTACTGAAGCCGTGTAAATTTTAGGAGAGAAAGGTGTTGGGATAGGATGAGGGAGAGGCCACACTCCAAATAGGCTAGCAGATTATAAGCACTAGTAATGATGTTTTCCAGAAACCTGTCTATTTTTTTTTCCTTTGAGTTTGATATCAGCAGCATTTTCACTACACTTGCAAGTCGCCTGGATTTTGACCCTGCTTCTATTCTAGCTGAAACGTGTGGCAGAATTTCCATTAACATGAGGATATGGCTTTGCTCTAGTGCCATAGTGACAAGCTTCAATGAAGTAAAATGATTTATCACTTTTCGCTGGAAACCGATACTCTTTTGTATCATCAGAACCAAAGTCTTCGACAGTTGTGCTAAAATTGCAGCATTCAGAAGATCTCATTTGCAAATTGAAATGAGCTGTGTCATTAGAAAAAAAACTTCTCATTTGCAAGAAGCACTTAGTAAGTGCTGTGCCATCCAGATTCTTAATTAAAAAGTAGAATGATCCATTTTCCCACTTGCCCTTCCCTTTGTCATTACCGTATCCTCTTTGGGGGACTGCAGGGTTTGATATCAAAGGCCATACGTGATTCCCAGTGGTTGTTTTATATTTTAATGAGCATAAATCATACTGTGGACAATACACTCCATGCACCCCTCCTCACTCGGGGGAGAAGGGGCTGGATCTGCAAGATGAGGCTGACCGAGTTGACTCAGCTTGAGCTTGGCTGATAGGGCTGAGGCAGTCAGGAGTCTGCTGGGGGTTTTGTGTTTACAAATGGTCAAGAAAAATCCAATGTCGGGCCTTTCTGTTGCATGAGTGCAGATTGTGACCCAGAGATTTTTGCCAAAATGAGAAATTCATAGGGACTTTGAGTATACAAGCCGTTAAGACACTGTCTTGGGGAATGCTCCCTTCCTGAGCATTGAGAGCACTAAATCAGTGCAGAAGGATGAGAGGAGGAAAGTCTTTATATACGTAGTGTAGAAGAAGTTAGCAGTTTTCCTTTGAAGGTATTTGATAACATTAGTCCACAGAATAAAATATTTAAAACAAACTATATTGTTGACCTGAAAGTGGCTTTAAAATACACATTGAAACATCATGGACCAAAGAAGAAATTGCACTTCTTTTTGAATTGTCTCCTGTAGAAAATGAGGCATCCTTCAGTTCTAACTTAAGGTGCATTCAGCTTGGAGCAGTCTAAGAAAATGGCTCAATTGGGGGAATGGTGGTGCATGAAAGAGAGAGGAGAGCTAAATTGTTTACAGGCAGTAAAATAAAGGCTGGAAGGGAATATGATTTCTGCCTAGAGATCTCTTCAGGAAGGTAAGTGGTACAGAAGGAAAAGAGCTATTTCAGCTGAATGATGTTCTTGGCACAAGAACAAACTGGTCTAAACTCAGAGTAACTTTTAAGCTGCAGATGAGAAAATGAGGTTGCTGGTGGTCAAATTGGGGAGCCCAGGAACAGCCTTCTGGCAGGAGGAACAAGAGGCAGAAAAACCTGACAAGCTCTGGAAGATGGAGCGCGATGAGTTAATTGAAGGGATTATAGGATACAGTTGTGGTGATAACACAGACTGGGAATTGATAGTGGAGAAGATCTCTCACTCACTCTGTGTTCATATGTGGCAAGTCATTAAGTGTTAATCTCCTCCTTTTCTCCCTCTCCCCCTTCCACACCTAGACTGGAATGGGTTTTAAAAGAAAAAATATGGAAGATGGGCATGGGGTGGCCCCGGAGTGAACAGCGCCCTGGGCTCAGCACCGTGGGTGAAGCTGTCTTGGGTCTCATGGGTGGAATGGACCGGGGTGTAACTATATGTGCTTTGCCAGGGAGACTAAGGGGATGGACTTTAAGGATCTTCAGGTTGTAAACAGCCCAGATGTGTGCCCTGCTTGTTGTATTTTAACTGGGATATGAATATCGCAGTGCTAGTGGAAAGGAGCATCTAAGAATGCTTAAGTTCTCTGCAAAAATCTTACTGAAGTGTGTGGCAAAGGAGATGCCTTAAGTGCCTGTAAGCAGAGCAGTATTCTTATATATTACAAAAGTAAGGCCTGAGGAATTTAAAGACGTGCCATTTTTAGATGGGCCTGTTTTGTCGTCAGCCTAGTTCCCCCCTTTAGCAGCCAGCTGCCTATTTCCATGCCTGTGGTGGGCAAAGCGATTTCTGTGTGAAACAAGTGATTTGGCAGTGAAGTTTGACAGTGCCTTTTAGGGAGCAGTGGGGACTACAGACGCAGCCCCAGATCTCAGAAGACAGGAGCTGCTCCTTCAGGTGATGGAGATCCCAGGGCATAAACGAATGAGCATCGTCTTTACTGACTGTTTTGTTCACCAGGTGATGACAACTCTGGACGGAAGGTGATTACGTTCAGTTGCTGCCGTATGCCACCCTCCCATCAGCTCGATCACACCCGATTGCTGGAGTAAGTTTCTCTCCATCCCCCTTTGCATTTTACATGTGAACTTCTGTTAGCTTGTTCCTATGTGAAGGAGCTTTTTGGGAGGTGAAGCAGGGGTGTTGAGAGTGAAATGTTAATGTTAAGTGAATGAGATGCAGATGAAACCATGAGAAGCAACTCCCTGTTTGCAGAAGTCAACTTTGTGTACTGTAGTGTTGATGTTAATGATTCCTATGGCATCTAAAAATGGGATTTATGATGAGAACCATCAATCGACCTCGAAATTGAACTTTTTTTTAGGCTCATTTTGTAATGTTTGTTGTATTTTGTGTGTGTGTTAAAGAGGTGGTGAACATTAAAAAAACCACATTCTTCTTCCTTGTAAACTTGTGGCACTGAATTATCAGTACATATTTCCCTGGATTCCCTAACATGCCACTACATTGGGATCTGGTTTGTCAGAAGAGCTTTGACCTTATGAAGCATTTTAAACCTGTTTTGAGTTCTTGTACAGCCCCTATTACCAAAGTATTTTAACACATTTCAATATACAGACCCTTACAAAAGCAGGAAGTGCTCTTACCTCAACTTTTCAGAAAGAGAGGGGTTTAAAAAACAGGTTATTAGAGAGATGTAGATGTTTGAAACAATGCTGCTTAATTTGTGTGCTCCTCGCGCTGTTAGCTTAGCTCAGGAGCCTCATGGCAAAGCTTCCTGCAGGAGGAGGGTTAGCCCCTCGGAGCAAGGTGCCTGGCACTGAACTCTTCACCGGAGGAGCTGCCTTCCTTGATTAACAGGTAACGTGGGAGGAATAACCACCTTGCTGGCCAGATCTAAGAGCCCTTCCTCAGTGCTGCAAGGAGGCACCTGGGTAAAAGGAGGATTTCCAGCCCTCAGACTCTACTGGATTTGAACAACTAAAAGCTTTTCTATAACGGAGACTATGTTAAACCCTCCTGGCAAGTCAATATTAAGATAGAGGGCTGAAGGCAGCTGGCACAATATGTGTGAAGTGATCTGTGCTTTAAGTAGTTAGACCAAGCAGTCAAGTTTTGAGGTGAAGACTATGCAGGCTAGATCCAAACTGGTAGGCTGTTTGTGATTGAATCACTTAATATCTGGTAATGCTTTTATAATGTCCCTGTGATTCTGTTACAGCCTTGGAACGTGTAATTGACTGTACAGAAATTCTGATTATTTTGTGCCCACAAAATCCTCACTATTATATTTAGAAGTACAGGCTTTCTGAATGCAAAGTGCCATGGAATTACGTGGTTTAAAATAAAGCAGGAGACTCCCCACATGTAAGAATACCTTTTTGGGTATATTTTCATTTCAGCCTAATTAAGCCTTGAATAATCGTTACTACTATTTCTATTAAGCTAACATCCAATACACAAGTCAGGGATCAAAACTACATTACACTAATTGCAGTGGCAGTCCTTGTCCCAGACCATTCACGGTGTGAGATTTGCAGGATGTTAGGGGGAATTAGCAGATAAATGAGGCAATGGAAGTACAGGCAGGCAGCGAAGCTGCATGTTTTTACATAGGTGGATAGTCAGAGTGGCCTTGATACTTTGAAATAACCACAGCCTAATAGATGCCATATGGAACTGCCTGTTTTATGAAATGAGAGTGGCCTACATACAGTTAAGCACAATAGCTAGGGCTGTGCTGCAGAATAATATGAGTGCGTTGAGAATGACGTGAGGAGGTTGAGATGTGACCCAGCGAGAGGGGAGGCTGGATTGTGCCCCTCCATCATCACTGCTTCGTTTGAATCGCTGAGCTGCGTAATAGACTGTACAATGTTCTCAAATGTAGGAGAAAGGAAAGAGAACAGCATCTTGGAGTGCACCATAAAAGAATCAACACAAAGAAATCTGCTTATAAAACACGCAGTATTGTTGCAAGATGGGATAACTAGCGTAGTTCCTTAAATTAGTTTCAAAGGAAATGATCTATAAACACAATCCCTGCGATACAAACAAGGCAGAGGCAAACATATTCAGGGAAAACAGTTTGCTGTAACCAGTCCTAATTGCCAGTAATTAGCTGATGGATTTTTTTTTTCCAATAATTGAAAATATTTTAAATTAGGAAGAAAAAATAAGGTGGCTAATAGAAAGGAATTTACAAAGATCAGAAGAAAGCAAAATATGTCAGTTCTAATTGCCAATTAAAATGCATCTTTAAAATTTTTTTTTTTTTTGATAACATGCTCCCATATTGTTCTCATCTTTTAGTGGTCAACGAGTACCGTACATTCTGTAACTAAACATATGTCAAATTTGAAGGTTTGTAGCCATTTGAAGTGACTGGTGACACTGCTACTAAAGCAAAATGAAGTTGTTTGAGAAATCCCTGGAAGCAAACACGAAGTTCCAATCACTAGCATTCTGTGCAGAAGTGGTGTGTTTAGGTTCTCAACTGCTGGTTGGAAAATCTCATCCCGTGTACTATCTTAAAGCTAAAATGTGTCCGTCTTCTCAGGTATTTAAGGTATACCCTGGACCAGTACGTAGAGAACGATTATACGGTTGTCTACTTCCACTATGGCCTGAAGAGTCGGAATAAACCATCTCTGAAATGGTTGCAAACGGCCTACAAAGAGTTTGACAGGAAGTATGTCTCTTTCTGTTGTCTAAAGTCTGTCACCAAATTCCATGAAGGAAGCAGATAGCGCAGTTAGGCGACAGGCTGTGGAGGTTATTTCGCTATTGGGAATTCTCGTGCTGTTCTCTGTGCTGTTGATGCCGTTAAAAATGTCTCCTGCAGCGCTGATCAGCAGCCTAGGTGCTGGAGTGGGGATCCAGGGCACTGGGACAGGAACCACAAGTGTCTGACTAGCAAGATAGTTGTTAGTCACTGTTCTTAATTATCTCACAGTTGTGTTAGAACCTGCTTGTGTATGATATGATACTGCCTTTGTAATAAAACAGTGATCTTTTTCTTTCAAAGGTCTATATATAAGCCTAATTAAAATTGGGAAGGAAAAATTGCTGTTATCGCTATATTACTGTCCTCTTCCTTTCATGAGAAGGTTTTTCCTAGGAGTTTGCAATCATTTTTTGCTAATAATAACTCCTTAAACAGTGAAGATGGAGGAAGAGTTTTCTTTACTGGGAAAGGCACTTAGAGAATAAGCAACAGTTTTATATAGCAGCAAGGTATTTGATTACTACAAAATACAAATCAGAAAATGGGCAATGTGGGTAAGTTCAGAGTATTTTCATGCAGCCTGGTTTTCAGTATTTGTTTCAGCCCAAATTCATTATTTATTATATCATGATGTGACACTGCAGAATAAAGCAATGCTATAATGGAGAAAGATTTTCCACTTTAAAGAAAAGGGAGCCATCCAATGTACCTCGGTGCAGTTGGCTTCATCCTTGGTAATTTCTATCAAAACAAGGCAGATGTAGTTAAAAAAAAAAGGGGGGGGGGTAAATTTTACATCTGAAATTTAGAAATTTTCTCTATCATGAAAAGTCTTCAAATGGAAATAAAAAGGTAGATGAAGGAAAGTTAATTTTTATGTGATCAAGTTTTAAAAGGCTTCCTCTTCTTGCCAGTTCTTTGTAAGATTGCCTCTTCTCCAGTATTTTTTTTTCCCTTCCCCGGTTATTAAACCCACAATACAACAGGCACTAGTTAGGACTATAGTAAGTAGTGTAATCTTAGCCTACTGTCTTATTGTCAAAACTTGTCATTTGTTTTATTTTTATTATTTTATCTTACATTCAGCTTTCTCTGAATTGAATCATTGTAAAGATACTTGAAGAGAATGCTATATAATGTTCCAGTAATAAAACCTCTCATTCAATTGTAGCTATTCAATTCTACAGTATATGATATGAAGTCTTCTAACAATTTCTTTTTTTTTTCTAGGTATAAGAAAAACCTTAAAGCACTGTATGTTGTACATCCAACCAACTTCATAAAAATTCTGTGGAATATTTTTAAACCTCTTATAAGGTACTTGGCAGTTTATTCAAAAGATTTTCCTATTATGTTTAAGGATGATCTGTTCTGTAATAAATTGCTTTTTAAAAAGGCTTGAGGTAAAATATGTCAGGTAACCACAAAATACACATTTAAAGTGCAGCTTGAACTAATATATAAGGTGAGCTTAAGTTTGGGTCTGAATAATAAGGTAGTTTTTTTCTTTGTAAGAAAGAGAGTTTCAATTCATAGTATGTTTGATGTTAAGGACATACATTCAAGTAAGTATCACTTGAAAGCTTAGCTATATGACAAAATCTGCAGACCATGAATGGCTTTTTTTTTTTTTTTGTCCTATTTTACAGCCTTTAGCACGGTAGAACTGGGCCATAACTGGAATTACTAGGCACTGTGGCAAAGCAGGTGATAAACAGTTAACCTTCAGTCTGAGCTCAAGTGCTGAGATGAATAGGAATGAGATTACTTGTGTGTTCAAAGTTAATGGATATGCCCTGAAGTGCCCATAAGGATTTGAGATGGAGAGTGAAAATGGTGAAGGTGGATTTATTTTACTGGTGGATGCTTTTCCTTTGCCTGATAAGAACTGAAACTATTTGTAATCTCTCTACATATCCACATAATTATTAGTGGTAAGATGGTTGGGCTTCCTTGGCTTTTGCTCCTGAACTCCTGCTACTTTCAAAATACTTCTGCCCTTTTTGGATTATATTAAGAATGTCCTCAGGGTTGAAGGAAGTAAACAGCTTATCTTGAGAAGCCGTAATGAACCGAGTGAAAATGTCTATTACAGTAACTTGCAGTTATTTGAATTTTTGACTTTTAGAAAGTTAACGAATTAGAAAGGGTGGTTAACTTCTAGACAGATCAAAACATGCATGAAGCATGTGAAAATATGAATAGTAACCACAGCTAAAAATTATTCTGGAATGAACTGTGCTTGAAACAGGAAGAATAATTAAGGTTTGGTTCTTTTTAACTGTCAATAAATAGATGTCAAGTAAACCAACAGAGAGAAAAGTGTGACTGAAGCAGGAATCCAATAGCCTGCTGTATCTCATGAATGAGGTGGTTGCTTGTTCCCTCTCAGCTGAGTATGGAGAGCTGGGGTTTAGGAAGAAAACAAGCAAGCAAGCAAACATGAAAAACCCTTGGTAGACTTGTCAATGCTCCTGCAAAACCAACTGCGATGTACAGACACAGGTCCACCTATCTGTAGCCCTCCTTGTTCTTCAGGCATCAGAAAGAGTAACACAGCTCGGGTGTAAATGCATCTAGCAGAGACATAGCTGGACACCATTGACCCACTGTAGTAATTGGCTGTTAATTCTCAGCAAAAAAAGTTACAGGTGCCTCTTCCAAGTACTCATTTCTCTTGGATCTTATATGAGATCATAGGGTATCATAGGATAAGATGAATGCTTCCCCAGCATGACACACTGACTTTTAAATCCTGTTTACTTTGCATGTGAAAATAGGTAATAGCAATACATTTAAGCATTCATACGTGGCATAGAAAATCAGAACGAGGACTTGTCATCTTTGATGCATCATCTTCTTGACCTTTTGAACGCCCAGGATTCTCGTTTGTGTTTGATTTCTATTGCTGTGTACCCACGTGCTTGTTTTGATTCCAATTTAGTACTACGCTTACTCGCTGTTGTTAGAGTATGTGATGAACAGCAACAAATTTGTTCATATACTGGGGCTGACAAAATAATTAAAAGCATCAATAAAGTCTGAATAGGTCCAGAAGCCAGAAGACCAATAGTAGCTGAAGCTAATTCAGAGGAAAAAACAGGTTTTGCTGTTGAAAGTGGCTTAATTATGCAACACTCGCCTGTATTCCTGGTTCAGGTAGACTGTCTCGTTTGTAAAGCAATGGAAAAAGCAAGGATATGCTTTTGTATCTGAATCCCTATGTGATTTGCCTAAACTGCTTCACTTAAAAACTTGCTGACATAGTCATCAGTTTACTAGAACAGTACAATTTAGGGTTACAATTTAGGGCACACTGTGCCTTCCCCATCTGGGTTCATAATTTTACCTCAGCAGGGCATACTGTTATCTAAATGTCAATATCAAACCAAAGTTCACAAAAAAAAGAGTAAAAACTTCTTTGGATTTTGTTTCCTAACTTTGCTTTTTATAGCCCATGTTCATTTTTTGACAGTAACATTTTCTCTGAAAAACCACAATTGTAAAATAAATTTCATGTGAAAAGCATCTGTTGGTTTTCCTATTTGTTAGGAGCTTGATTTGAGTACATTTGCATGAACAAACCATTTGCTGCGACAGAATTTTTAGAATGTAGAACAGAAGCAATAAGCATTTTAGCATCATTCTATTTGAAAAGTAATTAAGAAAATGTAAATATATGAAATTTTTCAAACGGCGAAAGAAATTGGCTGATCTCCCTGGCAATCCCAAAAGGGCAAGAAGTTAATGCATTAAGTCAAATGCATTTTTTCCTAGTGGTGGTGGCCTACCATTCATAGAGAACAAGAGGAAAATTACGATTGTTTGGGACTTAGTTACAAAAGATCTCTTTTATAGCATGTTGTGCACTACGAACATTACTTAGAGAATTCATTTAGCCTATTGCTTGCCTAAGATGTTGAAACCAAAGGCTATTCTGGAAAAAACACGAGCTGAAAATCTCTGAATTTGTACCCAGATTGAAATCTGTCGGTGTTGCAGGATCGCTTTCGTGATAGCAAATTTTAGCAGTTTGGAATTAAAAGTTTATAAAGTGCTTGAGTAATTTATATTTGTACCATCTCCCACTAGAGGGAGCTTGTGTATATATGCTTGACAATTCAGGGATACATTCGTTAATGGAAGAAAATTTTTCACTATCAAAGTATCTTACAGCAACGTACACCTGTTACTTTTCTTGACAGTTAATTACATTTTGCGTTGCAGAAAATGTATGAAATTGAGACTTTGCATATAAATGGATTCCTGAACATCTTGGTCTGTAAGCAATAAATTCTGGTTGAAACTCAAAACCTAACTAATGATACCTGCTTCTTCAAATTCAGAAGTCTGTATTGTGACACTCATTTAAAGAATCTTGTTATTCCGGATGGTATTTAAGAAGCCATAGTCTAAAAATCACCTTTTCCAAAAAGGATAAAGTTAGTTGCTTGGAGGAGTGTAAAGTATTAACTGTGAAAATGTGCTGTTTTATATGTCACTATTTATATGTCACTTCTATTTTATGCTATGTCTTTTAGTAGGGAGGAATAGCTAAGAAGATGGAAACATGTCCTGTTGACCATATAGCATTTCTTGCAAAGTTAACCTGAAAGTCTTCTGCACAACATCCCTGTTAGTAAGCTTTCTAATGCTCTGTGAAAGCTGTTTTTCAGTGGCTTTTAAAGCAATGTTTTTCATATCTATGCAAATCAAAAAACTTTCAGATGGCAGTCAGTTATTTTTATTCAAATCAGACTCTGAGGCATGCAGTGTATATGTTTGATCATATGAAATGAAATACATCTTATGTCTCCTGCTGCTTCAATTACAGTCTAATTCTGAGATGCATCAGCACTTACATTTTTGTAATAAAAGCTAAACCTTCCATAGATGTTCCTCCCATGCTGGCTGTTATACTTCTTTCCTTTTTTTTTAGCCATAAGTTTGGGAAAAAAGTCATCTACCTGAACTATTTAAGTGAACTGAGAGAGCATCTCAAATATGACCAGCTTAGTATCCCTCAGGAAGTCATCCGGTACGTGGCAAGTTTAACATATCCTCTTTCGCCTTATCCTACATGCACTTGTGGCTTGTTCTTCTTATTCCTGCTAGAATCGAATCAGATTTCTTTAATGAGCCAAAATCCAATTCCCGTAGTTGTGTTTGGCTAAATTTAACTCTGAAAGCTGCATTGTCACCAGACACATACTGAAGAGTGTCATATATTTAGAAAGAAGAATGAGGTATAGTGCTGTACAGATCTGGATCATTTCAGGCCTCTGTTCTAGAGTGTTTTCTTAGTATAATTGGAGCCTCTGTGTGAGCATTAACAAAACCAGCCCATGTGTCAGTACTGCTTCTGAGTACCAAGTAATGTTTGCAGGCAAAAATACACTCCTGGCCTATTTACTTGCATATTATATGAGATCAAGTGACTTTCTTTTGCTAAGAGCATTTGCAATCAGCACACTGGTGCCTGAATTGGACCCGTGTGCCTATGCCCTCAGCAGAGCCATGACTTTTGTGCTCTGTGTGTGTGTGTGTGTTAGGGAGGGCTCTTAGACAGGGCCTGGGAGAGAAGAAGAAATGTGCAAGGCTGGAATTGTCAAATGCCATTATCCGTATCAATAACAGGCTTTCTGACACAGTGGCTTTACGTGGAAATGCTTTGATGTACTGACAGGAAGTGATTTTATGTCACTGCTGAATGAAAGCAGCTGGAAGCTTTGATTATGGCTGTTACTGATGCCTGGTAGGTCTTTACACACCTTTTGTGTGTATGTGGAATAACAGAAAATACTTAACAGCTCTGAGGTTATCAAATGGATTGCATGGTTGCCAAAGAAAGGGGAATTCTGTTTTAAGTAGCAAATAGGCTTGAATTTTGCTGTTCAATTATAGCACATTCCTATTTTTTGGACAAATTTATCACTGAAATACATTGACTGAAGCAAAAGAACTCTTCTATGCCTTCCTTAACTATCCTCCAACAAATACTCCTTGAAAATTTCACTAATGCTCAAATTAAATGCAAGTTCTCTAGACTTGCACAATATTCGCTGTTGTCAAAATCATGATTGATACTGATTACTGTTCAGAAATGTAGTTTTCTCAGCTGTGACGCACAGCAACTCAATGATTTTTTGATTTTTGCAGACATGATGAAAATCTTCGGGGGAAGCAGAAGGGAAAACTGCCACCTGTGGTGAAGATTCCTCCCCCAAGACCACCTCTACCTAATCAGCAATTTGGGGTCAGCCTGCAATAGTAAGCTATGAGATCTGTAAACTGGTGCCTGTACGTTTTATCTGACAGCCTTCTGCCATGTGTGGTTTCACTGGACATGTTTTCTTAGTATATGTTTAGTTTCTGTCATCCTCTTTGAAAGCTATAAAACCGTGAGGCTAGATGGGAGCTTTTATGAATTCAGGACAGATCTCAGTCCCTGTGACCTGCCTGATCTTCGTGTTTACAATATCTTCATAGTACTTACTGCTAGCAGGGCTGCACAATTCTCCCAGTGGACAGAATTTCTGCTGTATGTGACAGAGCTCTGAGTTAATCTGTTGCTGATGGATGCTGGCAAATAGGGAAGTGCTTTCGTAGTGTTTACGTAGCGGGCAGCAAAGCCAGGACAAAGCTTCAGGCTCCAAAATGGCTGCATAAAACCAAAATGAATGTGTGAGCCGGCAGAGATTGTTGCTTTGCTGCTCCCATGTTGTTTTGATCAGAGTTTTATGAAATGAATAAAATAACACTGTATTCCAGAAATGCCCTGACAGCTGTTTACATAGATTACAGCACTGTATGTGGTATGAAAAACGGTTTAATTTACACAAGGAATGGGATCACAGTAGTATTTGCAAGATTCATTTTTGGTTTAAAAAATAAATAAGACCCCCCAAAGCCCTACAATAATGACAAAAAACTTCTAGTTTCCTATCCATAATCATCTTTGTCCAAAAGCTGTGGCGAACTTTATCTTAATATATCATCCTGCTCAAAAGCAGCTGAAAAATACTGTTCACATTGAACAAAGATGATTTTGTCTGTGTTAGAAATGAATTCTACCTGATACATGGCCGGGTGCCAGATGTCCTCCTACTTGCGCTCCGCTTTTCCGATCCTAATGATTCAGCTGTAAAGGAAATATTAAATAAAAATATCTCTTGGTTAAATGTTAAACATTAGTCTTCTCTGGAAGGCCTGAAATTAGAACGATTCAGTGCCTGGGGTGTAAAAGCTGCTCTGACATTAACTTTTATGGTAGCTCCTTAGAGTTCATCCTAACACTTGAAACATGGTGAGCTCGCTTTCCGAATTCAGAAAATATCTTTCGAGTGGTCTCCACTGGGTCATACAGAAGGACAGTGTCTTGTGCCACAGCTTCAGTAATACAGATGGATCTATTTGCAGGCATCAAGGTGCACAATGTCACTTGCCTCGAGCCTCCCTGTCAGGTAGCTCCAAACTGACACAGGTTGAGGCAGCATTTTGTGTCCAACTTGTCACAGCCTTAGCTGCTGAGGCAGCATTTTGGGTGCCTCTCTTAATGCTCCTTCACCTCTCTGGCTGGTTCTGAGCAATGTTTATTGCTGGGCTGCATGTGCCGAGTGCATTGCCCACCTTTCCAAGCCCTGCTGCTTTCCAGCTGTGTTACCATAAGCAAATCACACCCTTCCTGCATGCTTTAGTTTCCCCTGTAGCAAAGTGTGGCTGCTTTACGAAGAGCCTTGGGATCTGTCGGAGGGAAAACACTGAGGGAGGCAACATTATTTATTGCTTTTAATCTGGTGAGTTCCAGCACTCACTAAGGAGGTTCTGAGCTGATGCCATCCCCCACTTCAGAGCACTCACACCTCTAAGTATCAGGCACACAGGGATGTGCATTCAGTGGTTGCCAGTGTCATCCCATCTTGCAGGAGAGCTGAAACTCTCTGCAAATAAATCCTCAAACACATTTGAACAAGAAATAAAGGACTGAATTTGGATTGAGGAAATGTAAAGGTAAAGGAGGAGAATGACATATATTGAGAGCTTTTAAAATCATAACCACGCATGTATCAACTGTTATCTTGATGAATCAACTACTTATGCTAAATTCTTCTCTTCTTGTGATCTCTATAGCCTGTCATAGCAAAATATCAGTAACTTCATAAGTATCTAGCAAGGAAGTAGGTTTGAAGTCTTCGTCTAGAGGAGATTTTCTGCATTTTCTGAAGTAGGATACTAGGAGGCCTTGATTTTATTTTCTAGGTTTATGAGAACATGCACTGTGGGCTGTGTATTTTGTTATAGTCGAGGAAAATGTGTTATCAGAGATGCCACTGAGAGAAAGGCATTCTTGTTAAAAGACTTTTTCTCTGTGGAGGCTTTTCCTTAGTTTAAGGAAAAGAAACAACACAAAAGACCTGCAGGCCTGAGGCTTCCTCAGTTTTAATACTTCTGAGATACTATTTTTATCCAATCTGTGTTAGGATGGTGAATAAGACTTAAGCAAAGCCTTTCTAGATGGCCTAATTTTGATCATATGTGGAATAACCTTCCCCCAGTGACTTGCGGCTGCAGAACATGGTCAAGCCATACATTTACTGAAGACTCCTACTCGTACCCTTAAAACAAAGGCATTTTTGTCTGAAACCACCTTCTCATTTACCTTTCCTCTCAATATATATTGCTTAATGCCAATATATATTGGTTAATTGATTTCCAGAGATGTAGTTAAAAACCAGAAGAGCAGAAAGGGACAAACATTGTTTCAAGATTCTCCACTTTTGTCTCAGTGGACAGAGAGAAAACCTGTTCTGTGAAGTCAAGTGAACAAAACTTGACAGTGGTTTTCATCTAGATGTGAATAAATGATTGTCTGAGAGCGGTGCTCCCTCTTAGAGGGATCCGTTAAGTCCCATGGACATTTGTAACCTTGTAGAGTGGGATTTTCAATGCAGCATGAGGCAGCTGGGCATTTAAAAGCCATGGAAATTCTGTGAGATCTGGGCTGTAGTTCCTGCAAATGTCATCTCTACTGAGTTGGGCTTAATTTATGAGTGAGGTGAAGAGATTATTATCAGGTTAGTTCAAAGCTTTTCATTCTTACGTTACCCTCAGCGGCTCAGGGTGCAGCATCTGAATTTAAAATGATTGCATTTGATCTCTTTAACCTCTCAATGTCATCTTAACCTCTTAAGGGGGCGGGGGAAACACCAAGCACCAAAATGACTTTTATCTCTTTAAAGAGCAAAATGCTCTTTATATTTACTCCCTGAGGTAATTGTGCAGAGAAGAAAATCAATGTCTAAATATGTAGGTATGATGGCAGGCATTTGAGAGGGTATTTGTGGAGTTTTGGCTGTGGTTAGCAGTCACCATATTATTCATGAAGAGTACAGGCAGAACTAAGTTATTTGGTCATTCAGTGGAAATGTGAAATACTTTCAAGTATTTCATTTGCGTTCTGTCTTTTAAACATCTATTTTAGACATTTTTTTAAAATTGTATATGCTAGCTTTTGTATCCACCTGTTACTTTACTTACATAAGTGCAAAGGGAACCATTAAAATTAGACTTTATGTAAAAATGCCCTATGTATAGAAAGGAAGATACACTAGGTGGTTTTCCCAGGAGCTACCTGTAGTCTGGACCTTGCAAATGCCTCTTAACAAGGAGCTGTGAAGGAAGGCAGACTCTTGTTCTGGAGCAGACTTCATTGGAATAACTATTTCTAAAAGAAAACATTTGGTATAATTAACCCCAGTGACCATTTCCATCTTGGAAATATTCCAACACAGTATGTTTGAATCTTCCATAGAAGAGCAAGACAGTGGGGATGTGAGACTGGGATTCAGGAGAGCTGAGATCTAGTCCAGGCTGTGTCACAGATCCATAGGGGATCCAAACCAGGATGTTCACCCTGTGATTCAGCTAAGATCTTGTGTCTCTCCAGCTTTAGCCACATTTATTTGTTTGGGATTTAAGCATGTGCTCTACAGGAGATGCGGACATGAAGGGGAAACCTTTGTCATCGTGAGCTTCCTTCAAGTGAGGACTCCCCAATCAAAACTTTATGGAATTTCTGACCCCCAGCTTAGATTGCCTGGGAAGTCAAAGTCCATCTGTTTCAGTTGCCTAAAACTTCTAGTTACATACTGATTTGATTTTCTTGAAAACATAGCACAACTGAAGCTAGTGCTTAGCCTGATGGATTTATCAGAGCAGCCTTGCTTCTCTTAGTCACCAGTCATGATCTAATAGGAACCCACCCTCCAATTTCACAAACATGTGATGCATACCTCAGATGGGCAAGATAACTTTGTATGTTTGTCCTTGCCCGTTTTGCTGATTGAGGTTCCTTATGCACAGCCACAGAGGACAGAATAACAGCGCCGATGAGCTAGTTTAAAGGTTTAGCAAGCCTCGAGTCCTTTCCTCTACAGTGGGTGACAGCAGATGCCTAGGAAGAGTATCAGAACAGGGTGAGTGTCTCGTGATACTTCCTCTGATATATTGGCCTCGCTTCCAGCAGCTGGAGACTTAGAGGACTGCAGGGTATGTGAAAATGATATTCTGTTATTTAGCAGTCACTGCCATTTCTGGAAATCCAGATGTTTTAAAGAAAGTTCATACATCGCTTTTATGCAGCAAGATAGTTTTTCCATTTGGTCAGTAATGCCATCTTCACACATAACATGCAGAAGCAGCAGAAAGGAGCTATTCAGAAATAGGCCCTTGCTGTGTTGTGCTGTGTGCAGAAGTGGGATTTTCATTCTAAAAGACATCAGTAAATATTTTACATTCAAAAAGGTAAGAAAAAAGATAGGGTATAGTCTGCTTATGTTAATTAGATGAATACACTTTAAGTGCATTAATGAAGTTTGCACCACTTTAATAATTTAATAATTTGCACCACTTTAATACTTGACTGCATGGACTTAGCTGCATCCCTGTTTTCTGTCAGCCTCCTACGGATCCCTGTTGCTCAACTCTATTTCCTCTGTAATCAGGGAACACTACAGCTGAGCTCCAGCACAGAGTGCCCTTGACTAGCTGCTGACATTGTCCTCTTTTCTCCAGTCGGCTTTAAAATCTAAAATTAAATATCTTGGCGGAGGAGACAAGAAGTGTTTTGTTTTTCTAGCTATTGTCACAGAGGGGGAGAGGGAGACGAGAGGAAAATGCACAGGAATTGCCACAACTGTCCAGCTTTTGCTTGCTGAATTGCTCTCAGAAGTGTATCAGGGTGCTTTCTGTTTGGTCCTAGTCTTTTCCTAATCTTTCTGCTTGTGCATGCTGTGCATGCGTGGCCAGGCAGAAGGAATACATTCCAAACCAAACCCCGGCGTGTCTCAGCAGGGAAAATGAAAAGGAGAGGAAAAGAGAGAGAGAGAGAGAGAGAGAAAGATCATGAGCCAAGAATGCTTAATGGCACTTCTGAACGATGTGTGAAGGCCCTCAGTGAGAGCTGTCCCCGGTCTGGAAACACGTCATTGGATATATAACATATATATATAACATATTGCAGTTACTGTAGTTCCGTAATGAGGAGCACTCTTGGCTACCATGTTTGCTGGAACGGATCCCTTTCGAATCTATGTGGGTCGCTGCATTTGACTTGCAGAAAATGTTCTCATTTATTTTAAATTTAAAATTTTCATTTAACTTGAAGACCTCTTTCAGGTATTAGGAGTGGATCCTGTCCTTCAAGGGCAGTAAGAATCTTGTAGAAAACAGTAGAGCTGCAGAAACTGCATCTTCTTTCTTAGAAACAGAAAAAGGATGCCTAGAATTTATTATTCTGACTTATAGCCTACTTATTTGTCTCACCTCCCCGACAAACTAGTTCTCAGCAGGAGCAAGTGTTGTAAATAATCAGTTTGCTATTTATACACTGAAATGGGGCAACACATTTGGGGGGAACAATAATAATTGGAAAACATTTATAAAAAGCTGCTGGGTTGCTATTTAATGCCTCCGGAGTGAGCAGCTGTAAGAAAGTGGAAACGATCAGTGCAACTTGGAGAGACTGAGAATGGGCTTAAATTGTCAATAATAAAGATGTAACAGCTTCCAAGCAAATTAAAGTCTTGATGATGTTCCCATTTAAGTGAATTATTCCTTCCACTAATTTTAATAAAAGTTGCCCTACATGTTTAGGGTACTGATAAGAATGCATGAAGCAAAATCATTTGACACGTGAGGATTGTGTCATAACTCATCTATTAGAAAAAGGTATAATAACTGTTTTTCTCCTTGCCTTGATGTGCTGCAAGTTTTCCCTCACTAGTATCCCAATAGAAGTGTTGACCTCTTGTTTCTTGCTTAGTCCCTTTCTGGAGGATCCCTTTCCCTGGGGCTTCCAGCTTGGCATGCTGTGCAGGGGAGCCCTAGCGCTTCCTCCTAGACACCGTGTATTAGCAAGGCAGCACAACCATTGCCAATTTTGCTCCATTTTTTTGCTGCAGGGTTACTGCACAACCCTGGTCTGCTGTGAGAGCAAATAGTTCACGTGCAGAAGCCGCTCACAGAAGCATCTGCATGGTGGTAACACCAGCACCGACTTTCAGCCCTACTTTGCCACCAGAGTACATGAAGTCACTGTGAGATTGTTGAAAGTAACCTCGAAACAGCAAGAAAGAGCAAGAATTTTGCTGCTGGGAGAGAGATGTTACTGAGTTACTGGGTTGTCACCATGGTAAAGAAGAGGATGCTGCTCTGGGGGCTAGGTCATAAACTTTGTCCTGGCAGCATTTCAAGTCATGGTGGTCTCTCGTTGTGGGAGTTTTGTCATGTAGCCCTTCAGGCTGCTGTGCTTGCTCTCGTAGACATCTGTGATGATGCAGATGACTCAGGTTGGACTTGGCCTTACAAGTCAGGCCATAAATCTTTCCTCTGTCCCTTCGCATGTTATTTTGATAGTGTAATGAATGATTTCTCCAACAAGTTCAATACTATTTTGTATGGAAATTAACGTGTAAGGACAAGAGGTTGCAGCACTAGATCTTTATATCTATGATATACCTGCAAGGTGCAGCAAATGATGAGTTAATGACCTATAGAAGTTCATACTCTTGCTTGATCTTTTGTCTTCCTGCCAATGTGTTACATATTTATGTAAAGTCAGTATCTACTTAGAGCAAAAAAGAAAAGTCCTCTTTTCAACCCAATTCTTGTTAGATATAGATGCAACCAAGTCTGTTATCAACAGGGTCAGTGTCTATCATGGCTTTATATAACATTAATGGTACTACCATGCTAGAGGGAAAGAAACACTGCACAAGAGAACCTGAAAAGCATGCACAAACAGCATGCACAAACATTAGTGCAAGGGAAAAGACTGGATGGTGAAAATGGGAAGGAGGAAGAATAGGACTGGATGGGAGAAGAAATTGAATGGGAGAAATGACTCTGATTCCTCAGCTGTGATTTGTCCCTGGATTGAGCTGAGTGAGATCAGCCATGTTTGATGGTTGAGTAGCTGAAGAGTGGAGAATGTTCCCCTCTTATTTAAGGCTATAACAGAGGTAAGTCAAGAGAATAATTCTCTGAAATTGGGATCCTGTTCTGAGACTTCACTTTGGAGGAACTCAGCCACCAGCTCCCTACATGAAGCCTTAGGGGAGCAACATCCTAACCTCAGGGCTACAGAACAAGGCAGTCTCTGTAGCTCTTTGAATGCACTTCATAGGCACAGGGAAAGCCTAGGGCAGGTGAGACTAGGGAGAGGACCATTTAATGTAGCAATTTCTCCATACTTCCATGCTAAATTTTGTTGCTGTACTGATTATTTTAAGTTAGATTTTTGTGTGTAGTGTAAATACAAAACGAAATACCAGATTGGTCATTCTACATGGCAGCGTTTAAAGAGTTGTGATATATACACCTTAATTAGTAGTAGGTGTTTTATATTAATCAGGTAATAAGCAAGCTTAGACAGAAACAAGAGAAATCAAAATATTTTGAAAAGAAGAGTCTAAGCATCATTCTTATCTGCAGGCAGGACCTCAACTAATAGTAGGAGCTTGAGGGTAGGTTTAGGTGTTGTGTGGACTTGCATGAACATCTCACATTTGCTGGGGATGAGCTGTAGCAATTGCAGTCTCTGTTGAGAAGGTCACAGATCTCTGTGCTCTTTTCTGATGGTGTTTTAGAGACTGTCAGTAAAACTGATCGTCTTTGAAATATCAAACGTTGAGTTGTACACAAATACATTTCAAGTATACTTTTAAGATCTGGCTTTGGTCTTTTATTTTCCTTTTGCCTTCTCTAAAACTGCAGAGAACACTCAGCAGATACTGACCGTCTTTTTCTGTTATGCTTTGAAAATGCCAAAGACTTTTTTTTTTTAAGTAAGATAATTGCAGAATTTTCTGTGCTGTCTAGATCAAGAAACCGCTGTGTTCGATTTTTACCTCAGCTGCTTGCTCATGAAAGAAATCTCATTTCATGGGAATCAGTCAAAGCTTTAATAAACTCAATCTCGCTGCATCACTTTGCCTTCAAAATAAATAGTACGATATCCTTTTAATTACACATACACAATGGCTTAAAAAGAGACAAATGACAGAGAAAAATCTGCATGATAAAAGCCTCCTAAACTTGCAGCATCCCTTGATCAGGACTTATTATCAGACTTATTATCCTGCCTTGCCTGCCTCTCACTGCCGTACATCCATGTTCAGCTAAGGGAGCCCAACCAAATTCAGTTCCAGCCCTTGCCGTTGTGGGCAGCCCTGCAGTGAGCAAAACCAGAGCAAAAACCTTCTTGAGTAGGGTCAAAGAGAGCCCAGGACACCCTTCTCCTGCTTCATCCTTAGCCTCTTGACTCTGTTTCAGTGTAGTAAATAGCCCTGACTTCCTACTCATCCTTGCTGAAGTTATTTAGAGCTTTCTGAAGGAAAGGAAGCCTTTAGGAATGGCTGCTTGAATAGGACTCTGAGTCACCTGTTTCAACAGCTCCTTCAGAGCCTTTTGTAATGGAGAACCATTGTGCTTGGTGCAGGCTCCTTAATTTGTGGAATTACATGTATGCTTTCAGACAAATGCTCTGTTTTGATTTTAGATGTGATTCTTTGTCTGTAAATACCAATTAAATGCTGGATTTTTTTTTCTCCTTCTAACAGTATCAAGGACAAAAATAAAGGTGAGCTAATCCCACCAGTACTGAAGCAAACTGTGTGCTACCTAAAAATAAAAGGTGAGTTGCTTTAAAGATGAATTGTATTTTTGTGGAGCTGTGAGGACTTGAGAGTTGGGGGATTTTTCAGAACCGGGGATTTTTTCATCTCCAGTGGGGACTTTTCAGGGAGCATGAAACTATCTACCTATCTGGGCCTGATTTAGCAAAGTTCATAAAAACATCCTAAATTTGAAGGGTTTGTTAGAGAGCTTTGATGAATAGGGAATTTGATGAATAGGGAATGATCTGATAATAAAATCAGATCATTGCCCATTGGAGAGAGGGGGAAAAAATCGCCATAAGGATCAGATTAGGGAATGGCAAGTGAGAAGAGATGTCTTCTCTTCAGCCCATATTGTATCATTGATTTTAATTAGAACTCCCAGGAAAAAAGATCAATTAGAAGTTCTGTTTTTATAGAGCCAGTAGCTTAAAAAACTCAGAGAAAACTTATTTTGCAGGCATAAGCAGGAAGGCCTCTCTTCACAAAATACTGTTAAGTGACACTCAGTCAAGAGGGCCTTTGACGGCAGTTCATAGCTGTAGCCAGAGTATATAAAGATACAGGTTGCCAAGGGTCACATTTAAAACAGGGACTTCCAGTTGCAGGTTCATCTACCTGCTTCCTTTACGAGGCAGTCGAGTACGGACGGTAGCATGGAGCGGGTATCCCCACGGATACCTGCCTGGTATCCAAGGAGCAGGTGTCAGGCACTACCTTCAGGGCAAGCACATGGTTTCCCTGCACAGGGAGGAAGGGGCACGGAGGAGGAAAGGCTGAGAGGAGGCTGTAGTCCTGAGAACCACAGCCCGATTCCTGTTGTTTGCCCAGCACAATGCAAGTGTACATTTTCATCCTTATTTTTTTAAGGCAATGGCAGTAATATTTTTATAGCCGTTTGTGTTCCAGGACCTGAGAGTTTCACAAAAGTACACTAAACTTCCCAGTATCGGTGACTCTGTAAGCTAAGCCACATTTATCTGACAGATGACAGGGGATTATGTAGGACTGGCACAGAGCTGCACAGTGGTACAACTGGGAATGATACTGACGCTCTCTGGAAGAAAGGTGTGAAGTTTTAATAGGTTTGTCTATAGTGAAGAAAATCAAAATGTGTTTGCTTCACTTATTTCAGAAAGTAAACATTCCCTGAACTTCAATGTGCTATTGGTTTTTACAAAGTTTGAGTAGCACTTGAACAGGTTTGAAGATGATTTTTGTTTGGTCTTTCGTTAAGACAAAAAACAGGCTCAGATCTGTATTTTGCTGTTAAATGTGGTTATTTTTATCCAAGATTGTTCTTATTTAAAACGCTATTTGTGTTGATAGCACAAAAATAAAGAATATGTATATATATTATTTTGAATAAGAGATGCTTACTCAAAAGCAAAGTCTCACAAAAAATGTCAATTCTTAATTTCCATCGTTGAGCTGTCATTCTTAACAAGGTAAATTTTGCTTGCACTATTAAGATGCATCCTTTTAATCTAAGTGAGAGGTTTCGGACTTCTTTTAAACGCGGACAGAGTAGACCTCACATGGCAAGCAGGAAGTCTGACTGGGGGGGAGCAAAGCACTGCATGTCAACTCGAATGCCAGTTCCCAAGAGAAATCCTGGCTTCATTTACATGAGTGCAAGATCATGTTGATTTAACTGGTGCCAGAACAGACCCTTAGTGTATTGCCCTCATTGCTTGGCTCAACTCCTTCATATTTTAGTTTATCCCGTGTTAAATAAGAGCATTAAATAGTGGCCTGTTTTATTCTTTCTTGTGTCTCCTACCTTGAGTGAAGCTCATTCGTGACATACCTGGGAGAATGAGAGTCACTCGGCAGATACCTGCTGAGCACTGGCAAGCAGTGGCCCATGCCGTCCATAAGGATGCTTGTGGACAGAGCACTGGGCTCCTTTCCTTGTGAAACTGCTGCACTGTCTTCCAGATAACTGCGGTCACCAAAGGCCACACATTGATGCAGGGCCAGCTCTGCTATTAACACATCTATCTACTGATTTCAGCAGAGGAGGAGTCCTTAATACACTTTATGGCAGGCCTTTTGGACCCAAGTCTGGACTTCCACTTGAGCTCAGGACGCTTTTTGAACGTGCAGCTCCCAGGCTAGTGTCAAACATGGCAACTTGGAAGTGTAGCTTGTATCAGATGTCTTATGGCAGGATATGGGGAATATAAATTGTTCCCTACTAGGAATATTGCAGGCAAGTGACTGGCAGCTTGAGACAGTCCCTGTAATTATAACTGTAAGTGGGTAATTGGAGCTTGTGTAGTGTATCAGTGCATGCCCCATCTGCAGATGAAAGCTAGACTTCATGTCTTAAACTGCTAGGAAACAATCCTCCTTGCATGTATTGGGCTTAGTAGGCAAATACCCCTTCCCCACTAATCCACCAGAGCCAAGAGAGCTAAAGGAAGGATGAATGTGCGCTAATATCATTGCCTTTCCGAGCTGTTGCTGCTTAGAAACTGAGCAATATTCACTAAATATCACTAAATTCACTAAAAATATTGATTGATTTAAACTTGGCGATAGCCGCTCACATGTGGCCCTTCTCTAGACCCCTTCAAAGGTTTTGAAGAAGTGTGGTCGTTGTATTTGGCTGCTGACCAGTGTTTCACTAGTAATTGTGGGCACTGATTTGAGACAAAAGCTCTTGCATAACCCTGGGTTTGTTCTTCCTTGTTTTGCCTCGTCGCTATTGCCCCAGCCCCTTCCCTCTCAGGAACTGTTGAGTCCAGCTCAGATACTCACAGTTCTCTGAAGCAACAGCACGAGCTGTGCAAGGTAGGAAGGAAAAACTAGTTTCTGTTTTTGTGATTCTGATGAAGCAATAGTATTTTTTAGCTTTATCACTGCAGGATTTGTTACATGAAGCCTTTGTTATTCTGAAAGAAATCATCATCCTTGGTTGTTTTTTTTTTCTCCAGACTCCCCTCC